TTAGTTTAATGTTTAGCTTTGTCTTTGCAATGGCTAAGGTGATTAGATCAGTTTTGTAGGATTTGTCTTTGAGACACAGCTTGTAGTTCTCAGCGTACGATTCAGTCAGATGTCTGCTACAACCATGAGGTTCTGTAGTTTCACTCTTCCAGTGCCTTGGATATTACACAGCCGTCACTGGTCATATTGCAGCAATAGGGAGCAGGAGTAGACTGCCACATGGCTGTGTGGACGACTGGCTGCTACTACTGGTTTGCAGGACAGAGGCTACACAGGGTGCCCTCTCCCTGTCTCTCTCCTCTGTTCACCTTTTATATATTGGACTTCAGATATAACACTCCAGAAATTGTCCGATGATACAGCCGTCATTGGCTGCTCATCAGAAGGAAATGAACAGGAATACAGGGAGTCATCAAGGACTTGGTTGACTGGTGTGAGCTCAGTTACATAAATGTGAGCAAAACAAATAAGATGGTGATAGACATCTGCATCAAGACGCCCAGACTACACCAGTGACTGTGCAAGACTTTGGTATTGTTAGTGGAAAAGTAAATATACCTGCATGTTTACCTACTTTACGTACTTTGGTGTGGCTGTGGCTCAAGTGGAAGAGTAGGTTGTCCATTTGCAAAGTTGGTGGTTTGATCCCTGGCCCCTTTGCATGCCGAAGCGTCCTTGGGAAAGACACTGAATCCCAAGGTGCTGCTGATGGCAGGCAGGCATCGTGCATGGCAGCTCTGTCGAATGTAGAAAGCTGCTATATAAGTGCTGACCATTTATCTCAGCAATAAACTGAACTGGTCATCCTGTACAAAAACAGCCAAAACCATATCCATATGCTGAGCAAACCTTGCTCTGTTAAGAATATTTTATTATGACACTCCTCTCGTTATGAGAAGGATGAATGAGAGAAGGATGCTAACCAAGCTGTTGTCAGTCTTGGGCAAAATATCTCATCTCCTGCAAGAGACCCTGGACGGCTGCTACACCCACAGTGTAAAGCTAAGTTTTTTTTCTACCTTTGTCGCCCTTGTAATATGTAACTTGCATGTAAGTTCTTGGATTATGGCACTGACATTGTCTTTAAAACTCGTGGGTGGCAGGGAGGAAACCTATTGGGTTTTAGAGAAAGATTAATTTTACTGACGATTTTGGATTACTTTGACAGTCAAAGCATCACCACCAATAGTTATGTAAAGTGTTGGAAATGGAACTTGAACCTGTGTTTGTGAGACTAATGACATCAGATATCTTATTATCTAGAGGGTTTGCACTGTGTGGTTTTTGAATTGAAACAATCTGCTGCTGTATTGTGTATTCTGTGTCTCACTTGAAGACAGTCAGACAAGCAAAAAGATTTGTCCCCCAGTTGTATTGTGAGGAACCTTATTATTTGACCTGGATATGTCCGTTCCATACATTTACATATAATGCTCATCTGCAGGATGGTTTTGCATTCCTAACTTCTAGGCTGGACTATTGTAACTCATTATCAGGATGTCCCAATAATTTTCTTAAAAACCTCCAAATCCAAAATGCTGCAGCCAGAGTTCTGACAGGAACCAGTAACAGAGATCATGTTTCTCCCACATTAGCTTCTCTTCAATGGTTCCCTGTAAAATCCAGATTAGAATTTTAAATCCTGCTTCTCACATATAAAACTGTTCATGACCAGCTCCATCTTATCTTAACACCTCACTGTGTCATATCATCCAAACAGATTCCCAAGATGCACTGGGCTCCTATCCTCAACTCTCCTCTCTCTCTCTTCCATTTAATTATAAACCACCATTATATGCCACTAACTTTGTATCTTTTTTCTCTGTAGTTTGTGTTTTGTTCTCTCTGTAGACGTCTCTGGATCTGGAGCTACACGTCTCTGATCTGCTGCCGCTGGCCTCACCGACATCCAAAATGTTAATTGTTCTGTTTGTGAGGTTTGTCTCTTCTCCATCTGCTACCCTGCAATCCCCAGCCAAATTCAATATATATTGAGTATATTGAGTAATATATATATATATATTTAGACAAAAAAAGAATTTCTTCTATTTAGAGGAACTTTTATTTTATGATGCTACATATATTTTTTAAAATTATTATTATATATTTCAGGGGATGCTTATTTAATGAAACCACAATTATTTCACAGCTTTTAAATTAACATTTTATATTGAAATGAGGGCATGTGCTTATGCCACAGAGTCAGACCAAAGCTGTAGAGCATGATGAACATAGCCATTGTGCACGACTACCTTTACCAGCCTGGCTCCTGGTTCTGCCATGCAAAGTCACTGCTAACAAAATTAACCTCCAAAATTTAAGGTAAACTTAATCAGTACGTGTCTACATTTGGCAAACATTACATGTAAAAGCAGCAACCTACGTTATTTTAGCTGTTAAGTTACTGTGTGTAAGTTCCTTGTTCCCCACACCCTCTCTGCCCCCATGTTGGATGTTACTGTTCCCAGAGCACCGCTTCTGTAGAGAGAGTTGTTATTGGGGCAATTTTACATTCAAATCCTCTCATTCAGGGTTCTTTGGTCTGATGATCTGAGCTTTTAGGTCATCAGATTAAACAACATTTTTGGAGGACACCAAACACTGCACATCATCACAAACACACCATTTGGACCCTAAAACATGGTGCTGGCAGCATCATGATATAGGAATGCTTCTTGGTGGCAGGCTCTCGAATGCTTGTAAAGTAGAGGGTAAAATGAATGCAGGAAAGTATTGGAAAATCCTGGTGGACAACCTGATGCAGTCTGCAAGAAAACTTTGACTTGGCTAAAACTTATTTCCAGCAAGACAGTGACTTAAAGGATGCAGCCAAAGCTACACAGAATTAGTTCAAAGACAACAAAGTGAATGTTCTGTCATGGCTGAGTCAGAGCCAAGACCTCAACACAATTGTGAATTTGTGGCTGGACTTAAAAAGAGCTGTTCACTCGCAATTCCCATGTAAGCTGAAAGAGCTTGAGCAGTTATGCAAAGTGGAATGGAGTGAAAAATTGCAGTGTCTAGATATGCAAAGCTGACTGAGATCTACCCACACAGGCTCAACACTGTAACTGTGGCCAAAGGTGAGGCTACTCAATACTGACTTGAAGGGGGTGAATAGTTAAGCAATGACTTATTTGATGTTTTATATTCTTTATTGACATTCTTTTGTAAAATTTCTTTACATTAGAGCTGCTTCTTCCTCCAACCTGTGAGCCTGTGAACATATAAACAGTCTCACACGCATCGATAATTCTTCTGTGACTTTTTTCTACCTCACAGATTTTACCTTCATGGACTGCAGCAATAACATTTTCAACTATGCATTACATCCAACCTACAGACTGATGCACGGTGCTCTTGTGCAGGCAGCCTTTCTTCCTTTACTCACTGAGTCCACAGACTGCATTACTGAACACTGTAAGCTGTATATAGAGTAATATTTTTTATATTGTTGTTTCTTGTGTTTACCATTTCTACTGTAATTCCTACCTTTTTACTAAAAATATGCTACACGTGAGATTCAGCTTCCTCTTTTTATTATGCAGGTTTGTCATGTGACTTAATTATTTACACTTGACTTCAAAGTGTGTACTACATTATTCATCTGTTCAGTATATTCTGTTGATATACATGCATCCTAATTAAATGAATTTCAGGATTTATTTCACAGCCTTATTTATTTATTTCATAGGTTGTGTTGACAGCCTGTAAACAATGGTGGAGTCAGACTAAATATTTGATGCTGCGGTTTTGACATTCAATGACCCAGTTTTTTGTTCAATAATTGGTTCATAGGTTTTGCAGTCACCTCCTGCACAGGTTTCTTGCACTGCGCACAACTTCTATCTAGGAAATGAAGTTGCATGTTGCAGAGTAAATCTTTCATTCTACTTGAATCACACAACTTTACAAAAAGCTTTAACATATGATACAGTAGCCAACATTTATTAAGTTGTTCACTAGGTTGACTTGGTGAAAGTCCTCAAGTGCAGAGAAAAGTATTGGCCCACAGGTGTGGACACTTTAAATTCTGCTAATAAAGAAGAAGAAAAAGAAGAAAAATAATAATTTGGTTCACACGTTTGAGGCCTTTTATGACATTTACCAATGCTAAAATAAGAGCAGGTCACAGTCCATCTCAGTTTGTCAGCAAACCATTTCTATCTTTGTCACTTTGTGGGTTTTTACCACATATGGGTTTAGTTTTTTCAGTGTTACACACAGTTTGCCTTTTGGAGGTGACCAGCTCCAGACCAATATCTCATTTTAAAAAAAATTAAAAAATCTTCTGCAAATGAAATTGGTATAGGCCAAATAGTATTTTCTGTATTTTATTTTTTTGATAAACTGTTTACAAAAAGAAACATGTCACTTTATCACTGAGTAGCAAATGTAGGATTCTTCAGGTATTTCCGCTGAGCTCCTCCAGAGTTGCTAACTGCTAGCTACCAGCGGAAGTGAGCTTGGTTTACCAATAAGTTAAAAATACTCGTTTCAGTTTTTCTAAAAGAATTTTTAACAGTAATAGGGGTGACTGTCTCTATATTTATATAACTTAGGAGACTAGTAGCAACTAGTTTACTACTGTAAACAACTGCTGGTTGTGTTTCTGTCAACAACAGTAAAAGCTGGGCCCATGATTAGCCTAATGAGGACTTATCTAGCTACACCATCACAATAAAATATGTTTCCATTTGAACTCGGCTACATGTTGATATACTTGTTAGCTAATGTTAGAGAGACCGCGTTTAACATGTAGCCATGAGAAGCATCCATACAGCTTCCTGACCCGAACACAGAGCCGTGACTAGCACAAGTCCACGGACAGCCAGACTGACCGGACAGAGCCAAACAGGATGTCCGGTTGGAGAGAAGCCCCGGCGGGTGTCGGTGCAGCAGACATGGCTGCTCTCTGTCTACACTAGCTACCAACCTCCACTTACAGCCAGAAATGTGTTCTAAGGGCAGCATTGTTTTATCGAGACCAGTCGCCACACGGTTTAGTGCTGTGAAATAGTATGAATTTAAATGCTCTGTATTTGTTAACGTGTAGTTTCCGTGAGTCTTGCTGTTAGCCACCTGTCTACCTGCTAGCGCGTCAGCTGCAAAGACCAACCTGTCATCTAGCAGTCCGCTCATGGTCAGCTGGATCTGAAGCCAGGACAGAACTCTGTTTTCCACTTCAGTATAAGTTATTTAACCGAGTAACCCCGCGGCTAAATGCCCGAACAAGGCCCCAGGATGAATGGATTTTCTATCGGCGAGCTGTGCTGGCTGTTCTGTTGTCCGCCCTGTCCTAGTCGCATCGCGGCCAAGCTAGCCTTCCTTCCACCGGAGCCGACCTACTCGATGCACACCGATGCTAACGGGGTAACTAGCTTACATCTAACCGAGCGGGCGGACTGGCAGTACTCGCAGCGGGAGCTCGATGCAGTGGAGGTATTTAGCACCAGGAGCAGCCGGGGGAACCGGGTTGGATGCATGTTTGTGCGTTGCGCCCCGAATAGTCGGTACACGCTGCTGTTTTCCCACGGGAACGCCGTGGACCTGGGACAGATGTGCAGTTTTTACATCGGCCTCGGCTCCAGGATAAACTGCAACGTGTTCTCTTACGATTATTCGGGCTACGGAGTCAGCACTGGCAAGCCGTCCGAGAAGAACCTGTATGCGGACATAGAGGCGGCCTGGCAGGTCCTGAGGAACAAGTGAGTGTGACCCATGAGAGTTTTATGGACTGTGCAAATGTTCACAGTTGTTTGGTGTTCATGTAGTAATCCATCCCCAATACATGCCAATATCAAATACGTTATACACTGAGTATGAATAAAGTCAGTATATTTCTGGAAGCCTTTCAGACATGGGATGGATAGTGTTGCTGGCTCCATCAGTGTGATGAAGTGACGGCCTGCCATTTAGACAGGGCTCACTTCTTTAGAAATACTCACTGTAGTGATGGAGAGAGCAAGACTACACATCCGATTTTAATCACTCATGTGATATTAGACAATACACCAACTGCTGTATGAAGTGTAATAATGTCCAATCCTTCCTGCCATATGCGGGGATCGACTAGTTATTGGTGTGATCGATTATTGAGGCTTATATGTGCCATTTTCCCCATAAATACTATTGTGATATTTATTGACTAGTTCATTCATTATAAATTAAACATGCTACTTTGGCTCTGATGCAGCCGGCTCTCTCTCTCTGCAGTCACTCTCCTCTCATCTCACTTGACGAGTTGCAAATCCTCGATTCCTCTCTTTGTTTCTAATGCTAAGAGTCCACAGGGGTGATTTTACATGCCGTTTCTGAATATCGCCTGATTGATAGGCATGCACTAGTAGGCCATTAGGTGGTCACATGACAGCTGCTTTATCTTGGAGACATCAAACCAACATGGCGCTCAGCCACAAACCTGAGACTAGAAATAAGCTATGCATCTGCTGAATTTGTCTTCATTTTGGTTCAACGACAGCTGGTTTAGCTGTTTTATGAAAGTTTCAGGAGGCGTCAGACCTCTGCTCCCCATGGCAATTTGCATAAAGTAGAAGTCAAGTCCACTTTATGGAAATGAGCACGTGGGCGACACTACACCTTGTCATTTGAAACACCTGCGATGCTCCAGGACATGACGCAGGGAGTTTTACATGCACAATGAATGGGAAGCGAGAAATTGACGGATCCTGTGGACACGTAGCATTATTCCTGGGCCGGGTCATGAGCCAGAGGGCCGAGGAGGCTACAACCAGTGATAGAGATGAACCCTCTGTGGTCTCAAGCAATGTCTCGTCAACCACGCTTTCTGATTGGTTGTTACGTGTCATAATTAATCGCTAATCACTGAAAGCCATGGACAGACTGGGACAGACGAGCACATCTCTAGAGCTGAGCTCGCAGAGCTTTGTTTGGAAGGTCAGATTGCACATGGTGCTGAAGTTGTAATGAACACAGCAGTCTTCCACAAGCCTTACATATAGAAGGCTCCAAAAATTTGCCAGAACTTGTAGGTGTTAACAAGTGCAGCTGGAACTTCTCTTGCTGACGGTGCTAACCTCTGGCTGTTGCTAAGATGCTGGCTGTGCCTGTTTGCCTGTTAGCCTGTGGCAAACACTACTTGGAGTACCGTAACATTTCCAAGTAAGATCAACTTTAGCAATCTGTTCTAACTGACAGACACGTCTCTCTAGCAGGAGACACAACCTGCATTTTGGGTAGGTGCTCGTCACATTGTGTCTCCTGGATTGTCTAAGTTTATTTTAGGTGCTTGAATACTGCTGAAGTTAATAAAGATTTAAGGATTGAAAGCCACCAGTGCAAGTGTCCTGCTGATGTTATAATCTTGCTATTGTATTACAGGCAAAAGGCTAAATATTTGTATGAAAGGTCCTTTGATTTCTCACTCTGAACATGCCTCGGATTTATGTTCCATTTGAAAGATTGTCCAAAAGGCACCATAAAGAAACTAAGTTAATCTTTTCCCACAGAGCATTAAATGCAACATTTCATTGTTCCCTTAAACTTGGGAGAGCCCGCCCCAGCATAAAAATGTGTTTATCATTGTTTTATTCTCAGGGAATCTCAGCACCTGAGGAAAGCCTGATGTTTATTCAATATCATTCTAATCACATTCCGCGTAGAAGTCATTAAGTCTGCGGCCTTTAACTGGAGCACGATTTCAGTATTTCCTTACTTAGTCTTCAGGCCTCTCTTGCATTGGAGCAGCTGGAAAGAATTTAAAGATAAAGATTCGATTTCACAAAGATCTGCTGGATTGACAGTCTGATAATTGTTAAATGAGTTTATGGTGTTTTTTCTTCCTCTTTGAAATGAAATGTGCCCCCACTGGACTTAAAAGACACAGTCCCTTATATTGTTATGCACAATAATGTCTCCAAACCTCACAGTTTTTTTTTGTTTTGTTTTGTTTTTTTGAATGACCACAGTTTTTAAAACATCACTGTTTTTCGACTGGAAAAGAAAATTTATGGGTTTGGGTGGAAATAAAAAATGAAGGGAGTAGGTTTTAAAATAATTAAGTGTAATCTGTCATCTCATCACCATTTGGGTGTTTAGTTGGATCATAGCTATTTGGATGTTCCAATAAGCCAAAATATATGAGAATGATTTTCTTTCTCGAGTGTGACATTAGCTACATTTCTTGATTTACATTTTTTTTTGTGGTTGGTTAGACACCAGCCAAGGCTGAGCTCCCTCTGCTTTTACTGAGAGATACAAATACAGTATTGAAATCTCTTGACTCTGGGCTTAGGCTTCACTCTGTCCTGCTCGGTACAGCGTGTGCTGGTAACAGATGCCATGTGACTTTGCATTTGTGATGTGAAAGAAATTGAAATAGTCCCCTAGAAAATACTAGTTATTGTTCACTATCCTCAATAAGCACACCCTATTAAGTGTCAACACTGAATGTCCTTTAAAATTTGAATGAGATTGCGCATCAGTTATTGGACTTGAACCTGTTTTGATGACACTGAAGAGTGTGATCAAGCAATGCCACTGTTGTTGCCATTTAGGTTGTAGAGCCGGAGAGTATGGTGAAAATGTTGGTACTAGCGCATCTCAAAAAATCAGAACATTGTGCTTAAGTAACTTTTGTTTGTAATTTATTTGAAAAGGTGAACTTCCATATATACTATATTCATTGCTAGTGTTGCATGGTATATCAACACTAAAAAAAAAGAAATAGTGCAACCCCTTGCTTTTAAAAACAACACCGAATCCTGTTTTATTAGTATTGATACTTGAATTGATCTGCAGTGTTTTCTAAGAGCAGCATTTCTGATCATTTACATCGATGTGCATCAGCGGGACAGTGAGTGGTTCTTTTTCTTCTTAGCCGGGTACGATCTTCTGACTTGTCTGGTTTAGGAGTGTCTTGATATTAGGAATGTGACAGGTGTAGATTCCTTCCTGAAGATGTCTGTGCTCGGTGGTTCTTGCTACGCTGACACCAGCCTCAGTCCACACCACGACTTTTCTTTATAATCCTCTTAAGGTTGCGGTCATCCCTGTTGCTTGTGCACTTTTTCCTACCACACTGTTACCTTCCAGTTAATTTCCCATTTTTATGCATTGATATAGCACTCTGCCAACAGTCAGTCTTTTCATCAATGACCTTCTATGGCCTAAAATTCTTGTGAAAGATGTTGATGATCTTCTTCTGGATAACTTTCAAATCAGCAGTCTTCCCCTAGAGTGTGGTTGCCTGCACTGAACTGGGCCCAGAGATACACCATGTTTAGGCTGTTTGAATTGTAATTTACACAAACTCACACTGAAATGTTATCATATTTTGAGATACTGAATTTCTGATTTTCATGAGCTATAACCCATAATTATCAAAATTAATACTGTAAAAAGCTTGAAATATATCACCTTACGTGAGTTCTAAAGAGTGTGGTAAGGCATTCTAATGTCAGATTTATCCAAGATGAAACCAAGTGATTTTATCTACATCTGCTGTTTTCTATGTGCAGTGTTTACTTTATTGGGGGTTTCTACAAGTAGAGCACATTTTTAACTGTAAATGCTGGAGATGGTCATGTTTAGATAATTGTAGGTAGCCAAAATCCTGACTGTGATTAATATCACTCCATTAGTCATTATAATTAAATGTGTTGCTTTTGTGCATTCACTGATGCAGTCAATTTCTGCCTGACTGCACATGTATTTTCTTTCTCAATCACTATTTACCAATCACTATTATATACTACAATGTGCTAATCGAAATGCAAAATAAATATGATGGGTATTTACAGCAAAAGAAAGAACTGGTTTGAACAAATAACTTTATAGACACTGATGTTGTGGTGGTGGGATGATCAGAGCCTCACAGGTTTTACTCACAAAATCAAATATCATGCAACGTGTTTCCTTAAACTCCCTGGCATTATGTTGGAGTTCAAGCTCCATCTTTAGCAGATATTAGGTAAATGTCAGTACATTTTGTTGATAAAGCCTCTTTTGCTCTTCACCTTTGAGTATAAAATGAAAGCAGGGCTTTTGCTTTTATGGTACTTGTGATAACAGTTGTAGTGAAAAGAAACGACAGTTGAAGTACTTCTGCTTCCACTAATGCCAGCATACAGTGAGAGAAAGAGTGACAATAAAGTAAGACAGAGTTTGTCCACAGCCTCCAAATCACTAAATCCTGCTGCTCTGTGCTCTAAAAGTGAAACTAAAATTCTGATTGACAGTTCAGATGATGCTCTGAATTTCAGGCTGAGTTTCTGAACACAGCCACAGTTAAACAAGCTGCTTACTTGAGGTCATTAACCCATGTTCCTGTTATTCAATTAACTCCTTGCGCGGGCTGGTAACAGACAGAACATACCTGGTTAGTGAAGGATGAACTGTGAGCTAAGCAGTCAAACTGTATTTCTGTGATGAACTTTTGCTGAATGTTTTGTCAGATTGAGGTTGTTTCTGCTCTTACTTACCAACGACTTGTTACTCTTGTGGTAACAAACATTTTCTGCAGCTCCAGCGTCATCTGTGTTTGCACAGAGCTGCTTCGCCCCTCACACATAAGTTATAGCTATCCCGACAGACAGCGAAAATGCATCATAGACACATATCTTATGGTGATGACATGGAGTGTGCAGATCATGTTCTTCTGTTGTGACGAAAGTTCTGTGGTCTGATGAAACAAAATGGAGCTATATGACCACAATGACCAGAAATATATTTGGAGGAGAGAAGGTGAGGCCTTTAACCTCATGAACACCAGACCTACGCTCAAGCATAGTATTGTGCTCTGGGGCTATTTTGGTGCCAGCGGTGCTTTACATAAAGTGAAGTGTGGCTGTGGCTCAGGTGGTAGAGTGGGTTGTTAACTGCAAAGTTGGTAGTTCGATCCCCCGTCCCTCTGCATGCATAGGCAAGACGCTGAACCCCAAGTTGCTCCCAGTGCCAGGCAGGCACCTTGCATGGCAGCTCTGTCCTCATTGATGTGAATGGGTGAATGAGAGACACATGGTAAAGCGGTTGGAGTACCTGTGTTGGCATGCAAATCACCATGGCTGCAGCTGCAGGCAGTGAGAGGCGCTTTTGTTGTTTTCCAAACAAGGGCATCCTGGACTTATTACATCCAGGTTTCCCAGAAGGCCGCCTTCCTAATTATTATTTATTCATTTGTCAGAAGGTAATTTGCAATTGCAGTGGATCACCTTAAATCCCATATTAGTAAATAATTAATTTAAGGAAGCGTGGATATGCCTCCCTTCACATGCTCATGTACACACTCAATACTTTGAAACCTAAAATAACCTTTGTGTGCCTGTTGTAATATCTTGATTTTCACAAAATAGACATTGTACTCATTGTGCAGGCCTGACAGATTCACTTGCCAGTAGCTCCTGCACTACTGCATACATTGTTCAGGTCAGTCGTACCTTACAGTGTGAAGTGCCATGAGAAGATGTGTTGTGAGTAGGCGCTGTATAAATAAAATAGGATTGAATAGAATTTAAATAAAAAAGACAATTAAGCTGAAAGGTGTTAGCTTTTGCTGTTATATTACAGTACCTTGATTATCCTGAAGGACTAGGTACAATGCAGACGACCAGTCTGCTTGATCTAGAGTTTTTTGATGAGGTATGTAGTAATCCTTGTCCAACGTCCTTCCAGCGTGCTGTTAGATGCACCAGAGTCCAGTGTTTTGTGAGTCAGCTGGCAGCCTGTTGGTACTTTGTCCATCCATTTGTGGGGTCATAATCTGTGATGAGATGATTGCTCAGTTCACTTGCTGCTTATCAGAGCAGGACTTATCTAGACTGAAGGTTACCAGACTTATCACACTCAACCTATTATCTGAAAAGCTGTTGTAATTGCATTGCTTCAAATCATTTGCCATGACTGTTCGAAAGGATCTAATCCTTCTGTGTTTGTGTATTGTGACAAAATCTCAGCTTGACTTCCCTCTGCATTCCAAGCACTGTCAGTAGATGGGAGGCTTTGCATTAAAGGTCTTGTTTTGTGCCCCTTTGGAGCAAATTATTGAATGTGTCACGTCCCCACAGTGTGTCTTTTAATTTTTCAGTTCATAATGCTGCAAAAATGGTTAATTTCACCATGACTGTATAAGCCTTGGTTTTAGCCCGACTCTAAATAGGCTGATTCAGTGTCAGTGGCTCTGCAAACCACTGACTTGCTGCTGTCCACGTCCCCTTCCTGAAGAAAACTTTCTCAGCGTGTGTGATTGACAGCATGGAGAAAAACAACTGACCGCAAGGCAGCTGACACCAGGGAGGGTGTGCAAGACCAGGAATTTGTCTTGCTTCTAACTCTCTGTCTGAACGATCATTTTACGTGGAAATATCGCCAAAGTCACAGCACAGCCATTGTTTCCAGCTTCTCTGTGTGGTGTGTAGTTATGAAATCACTATTTTCATGGTTCAGAGTATCAGCTTGGAAATGGCTCTAAAGTGATTAATATGAAGTGTTGATGGACTGTGTTTCAGTTACTATTTTATACTTGTTCTGCTGTCTGACAATACAAACAGAAAATTAGGTTTTATTGGAGATTCTATTAAAATGCGGTGTATGTGCACAGAGAGCAAGAGACAAACATGTGTACAGTGTAGGTTGCACTGTAGTACAACTAGCCTGGTGAAAACCCTGCAACCCATCCAGTCCGTGTTTATTAACTTATTCAGTCATCTCTATATGTCCCTTTAGCATTACCATTTTCACAGAGCTTTGACCTGTATTCATACCATGAAAGCTAATGAAAGGATCACTTCATGGTTATGGAACATGCCATCGACTGTAAGTGTCCCTCTCTCTATCCTGGAGAGACTCTAGATGTGCCTGTTTTCTGTCAGCACTTCCTTTCACCTTGCAGTATTTAAAGAGAAGCTAAGCAAAGCCATGGAAGTACTTCCAAACTGTGTTGGGTTTGGCAGTGTCACTTTCCACCTTGGTGATTTACAACCTAAAGGCGTTAGTGAGGACAAAGTGGTGGGTGACTGCATAACATGGTAGACACAACAGTTAACCAACACTTGACTTTAATATTATATTAATATTTAGTTTAAACCACTAATATTTCTGGTAGAGGTACTGACTTTAAGTTGTTTAGTTGATGACATCCCAGCCGTGGCCCCCCACAGCAATCAACCTGTGACTTTGCTCTTTTTTAAGCTGTAGGACCTTTATTTTAACTATGTATAGCAGCTCGTTAGAGTTTGGGCTGTAGCACTGTGTAACTAATTATTCTGAGATTATTTCCTTTTGAATTTGAGTAAATTACTATGGAAAGATGTCGAGAAGAGGATCATCAACATTCTCCACAAGGACTTTAGGCCACAGAAGGTAATTGCTGAAAAGACTGACTGTTGGCAGAGCGCTGTTTCAAAGCATGAGAGTAAGCAGTTGACTGGAAGGTAAAAGTGTGGTAGAAAAAAGGTGCACAAGCAACAGGGATGACTCCTATCTTGAGAGAATTGGTCAAGAAAAGTCATTTCAAGAGCTTCAGAAGGACTGAGGCTGGTGTCAGTGCATCAAGAGCCTCCGAGCACAGACGTCTTCATGAAAGGAGAAACAACTGTCACAGTCCAAATATCAAGAAACTCCTAAACCAGAAACAACAGATCAGAAGATCTTACCTGCTTCTAGGGTTTTTTGGTTCTGGTGTTTTACACAAAGTAAATGGAAGTATACAAGAGGATTACCTCCACATTCTTTAGGAAAACCTAAAATCATCAGCTAGAAGGTTGGATTTTAGATGCACTTGGGTGTTCCAACAAGACAGTGACTCCAGAGACACATCAAAAGTGGTAAAGAAATGGCTAAGTCTGGCTAGAATTAAAGTTTTAGACTGATCCCCCCAAAGTCCTTAGTTAAACCCCATTAGCAACCTATGGACTGTGCTGAAAAATACATGTCTGTGCCAGAAAGCCAACACATTTAATGGAACTGCACCAATTCTGTCAAGAGGAGTGGCCAAAGACACAACTTAGTTAAGACGAAAATGGATCAGAAACATTAAACCAAATATCAGCATTGTTGTATGTTTCTTACTCAGCAGTTTTTTATTTGTTTACATTTCCAGAAGATCTTTAGTAAATCTAAGAACGAACCAAAAAGCGGGATTGTTTTTTTATGACAAAAAATTAGTCACTGGAAGATATACATGGTCTTTGCCAGTGTATGTAGACATCTGTTCACAACAGTGTATTTGTGATTGTGCTTTGCACTAGCAGGGCTGTTGTAAAGCTACGATGGGCACACATACAGGCCAGTAGAGAAATATAATTTACACCAGTCAGACACAGTATTACAACCACTTACAGGTAAAGACAGTGTCTTTTATTATCTTGTTACGAAGCCATGTTCTGCTGGGAAATGTTCTCTCCTAGCATTCATCTGGATGCTACTTTGACAATCTACCGTCCACCTAAACATTGTTGCAGACCAAGCATTCCCCCCTATTGGCACTCCCCAACAAACTCCCTCAATAGGACAAATACATGAAGTTGTCTTGTTTCAGTCTTGTTTTAATTTCCTTGACAGTGCATAACGTGCTGTTTATTTAATGTAAAATGCTTTTGTAAGTGAGAGTGTCTTGTCTGTTTTGTGTTTTGAAGGTATGGCGTAACACCTGAGAATATCATCTTGTACGGTCAGAGCATTGGCACTGTGCCCACCATCGACCTGGCTGCTCGCTATGAATGTGCTGCTGTCATCCTGCATTCACCACTAATGTCAGGGCTACGGGTGGCCTTCCCTGATACACGCAAGACCTACTGCTTTGATGCCTTCCCCAGGTGAGTCGTAAACACACAGCAACACTTACGCATAACAGCAACCTGGGCAACTAGTAGCTTGGTAAAATCCAGTTGCCGCAATTGACCAACAAGGTCAAAATGTTTGCGTCTGTGTTTACATGTAACATGATTACAGGTATCTTTCACATTCATTGCAAGGTTTGTAGAACAGGCATTGGTGATTTGTTCACAAATTTATAGTCTCCAGTAACTTGGCCAATTGTCGATGTTCAGATTGGCATGTAGCCACCCGATCCATTCACTGTGTAGTCAGTTCCCTCCAGATGGTGATCTTCAACCTGCAGTGTTTGTTTGTTTATGAAAAATTATATTAGTTTAAATGAGCAACAGCTGAAATATTCTTTAGAAGCCTCGCATATGAGTACTGTTTGTTTGTACCAGTAGTTACCAGTGTTTCCATCCTTCCATCCATCCGCACTTATCTGTAGTAGAGGCTAAATATTCAGCCCGTATATCCTTTTTGCCACATCCTCTAGCTCCTCTTGGGGGATCAACAGGGGAATATGTAGTTCCTTCAGTGTGTTGTGAGTCTGCCCCACAGTTATCTCCAGTTAGACATTCCATAAATATCTTCACAGGGAGGCGTCTGGGAGGTAATTTGGTCAGATGCCCGAACCAGACTCCTTTTGACATGAATGGGCTGTGGTTCTCCTCCACAAGAGGCCCAGACATCCTGTCAAGGAAACTCATTATGTCCACTTGTATCTGCAGTCTAATTCTTGCGTTCTTGACCCACAGCTCTTAGAGTTGGAGTGTACTGTTATTGGATTGGTAAATTAAAAACTTCACCTTCAGTCAATCAGCACTGATACTAAAGCAGCAGAAGAAAAGTTTGCAGACCTCTTCAAAACTTCCAAGGTGTATGTTTTTCTCTGATGCACATTTTGTTAGTTTGTGTTTCCAGAGTCTAGCAAACAGTCAAGCTTCTCATTGATGTTAGAGTAACATGAATCATTTAATAGCAAGCCCGCAGTTTAGTTCTTTTATCACCATGTTTCAGTTTTCTACTTTTAGTTTGGGGAAAGCTTATTGTGTTTGTCTGATTGATCTGTTCATGCTGTAAAATAATCCAACAGATCTGAACAGCTTCTTATCCTGTTCTCTTTTCTGACCTTTGCTAACCCACCATATGACATAGAGTGCAGAAATGTTTCATTTACATGCATTCTGTTCTTGCATCTGACTGTGTGACAGAATGTAACGGAGGGCATCTTATTCAGACTACTGGCTCAAAATTTATTCTTAAGGAATGACCAGAAAAGCCACCAACTTGCAGACAAGGTTGTAGCCCACATGCTAAAAATGTAGTGTTTTTTACAATATAGATATACAGAGGTCTCTGTGGAACTGCTATTCAAATAAATCCATCTTGCTGTAGTACAGTACTGGAGTGAATTGGTCATCTTAATCAGTTACAGCTAAACCATCTTTACAATTAATGATAATTATGTTAATATTACAATATTACTCCCACTTTTGTGAAATTGCGATGTGATCAGTACATGTGTGGTAGAAAATGTTTATATGTTTAAACAGAGTGAGTTGGAGTGTTTAACACACTTGGTGAATTACAGATTGCAGTAAACAATGAGTGTGAAATGAATTGGCCTTTTACGCAGTCAATATGATGCTTGTCTCAGCTGTGACAAACACAGCAGGTGCAGTTCCTAGCTGTACAGTTATAGGAAAAACCACAGTCTCTACAAAAGACAGCGACAGAAATCAGTCCTAATCGGCCAAAACTTCTGTGGGATGCATTTTGTTGTCGTGCCTAAGAGAAAACCTTTATTCATACATACAGAGATGTTTGTTCAGAACCCTCTGAACCTCAAAACTGGCAAGTGGGTTTGAAAGGCATAACATTATTAAAAAGTCCAGAAAAAACATCATTTAGTAAACCCAGACATGAAGAACAGAAAGACACATTTTCAAGTCTAAACCTGAAAATTGTAACATTTTGTCAAAATAGTTTTATTCTGTATTTTAAAATTAGCCAAAAATGCTCCAGATTCCCAACCCCTCATCCCCCAGAACCTTTCTGTGCTCCTCAGTAAAGCCATTAGTGATGCGGCTGAACTGCAGGCTATGCTTATAGAAGAGAAGTATGTAAACAAATAAAAAAATGTATGCAAAAGAATATTTAGAGGATGTAGTGTCACATTGTTTTCCCACTATTGGCAACACCAGTTTGTAACAATCAATCAATTTGTACAAACTAAAAATTTTTGTAAAAATGTAACTTAAATTTTTTTGTAGCATAATAATTGTGTTACACTGCACAGAAGAGAATTTTGATTTCTTTCTGCTTAGCCATGGTTGTACTGTTTCAATAGAAGTGCAGGACTTTACGTTGCAGTGAAAAAATATCCCACAGTAAATAAGAATGTGATGTCCAGAGACTGTTTTGGGTTCAAAAGGTCAGTTTAAGAGATTACTACTTAGTAGATCTCCAGAAGTGTCCTAACCTGTGTGGAGTAGCCAGTAGATGGTGTTCAGGCTGTGGTATTCATTTAGACTAGAGATGTTTGGGAAATCCATGATGATATTGGGCCATTAAACATGAAGTTTTATTACTGACTTTACACAAGATGCAGAGAAGAATTCCCGTTGCGTCAGTAGAAACCATGTCCCCACACTGGAACACGTTGGGCAACAGGGAAACTTTTGGTGCTCAACTTGCGTGCATATTTCTATACAATACTCATCTACCATTTTAAAATAGTGAAATTATAAAATGTAACACTAGTAGAGCCTTTTTATAAAAACATATATTTTTATGGTGCCACTGTACTCGACATACAGATTTTATGAAGAAGGTAAAACACTCTGCAGCAAGTCTTAAACTCAAGCACAGCATGAAACAGCTTCAACAAGAAGCTGCATATCCTAATTGCATTATATTATTAAAAAACCTCAGATTGATCTAGAATAATTCATCCTGGCCACATGTCCAGATGTGTGAGTGAAACACGGGTTTCTGTTGTTTGTTTGAATCTACCTGTTGAGAAATCTTGCACACAGCTTCCTGTGGTATCAGTAGGAATCCAACTAAAAAAGAAATTAGTAATTCCAATTAACTATGAGCCTGCTTGTGTTTGCTGTGTTTTAAGTAAGCACAACAAACCTTTACTTTCACTTTTTGCGCAGCAATTGTGTCAGCAGGGCCACTTTTCTCTTTTGACCAAAAACTTGTCCTTGGGCCACACTGGGACCAAAGAGTGGAATTATGATGGTATTGTTATTGGACCTCACCTGGTTCATAATTTAATTACTCAAGGGACAACCACTTGTCTGACATAATTATAAACACCCAGAAAAAAAAAAATCAATTTAATGACATCTGCTGTGTCTCAGTGGATTCGTAGTCTGCAGTGTAGCATGGTGAAGAATGTTAAGTGTAGCTTCTGGGGAAGTGTTAGATGACTGTACAGTACATTTGGACAGGGTTGTATGTCTAAATCTGTGTGTATGATCTATATGTTTGTGTGTGCTGAGCATGCTAAGAGTCTGTTGTGGATACTGTATTTGCGTTACGTGCAAGACCTTCAGTATGTGATGTTCTTAGCCACAACACTTGCACTGAGTATCTGAGGTTAACCCTTTCGACACTGTAGCCCGCTATACCAGGCTGGCATTATGACTCTCGTTCAACATGGCAGACCGCTATATTGGTCTGCGGCTTTCACCGCCGTTCAACACTGCAGCCCGGTACAGCGTGCTCCATTATGTGGTGACTTTCTGTTTCTTTTATTTTGATTGTCTGTCAGTGGGAATCCCCGTCTGTGAACAAAATCACCAGAAAACAGGATTTTCACTACCAATCCATCCATTCATCCATTATCTATACACCGCTTAATCCTCACTAGGGTCGTGGGGGCTGGAGCCTATCCCAGCTGACTTAGGGCGAAGGCAGGGGACTCCCTAGTAAGGTCGGCAGTCTATCACAGGGCCCAACTTAGAGACAGACAGCCAAGCACACTCACATTGACACCTATGGACAATTTAGAATCACCAGTGAACCTCAACATGTTTTTGGACTGTGTGGGAGGAAGCAAGAGAACCCGGAGAGAACCCACGCTGCATGGGGAGAACATGTAAACTCCACGCAGAAAGATCCCGGGTGTCCTCACCAGGATGTGAACCAGCGACCTTCTTGCTGCGAGGCAGCGGTGCTAACCACTGCGCCACCTTGTAACCCAATTTTCGTTACATTGTTTCCGAAATGTTTATAAGCGATCAAAAATAACTATCTAATTACAAGACTTTGGCTGATGTCTCAGAATATAAGAACTGATAATCCCTGGTAATCATTAAGTTTACCTTTACCTTTTCTTTTTCATACTTGTATTTCACCTGTATGTTTATGACAAGAGTAAACTTCCATCTATATTTAACCAGATATGTAATGATGCGAAGTCTACTTAAGAATTTATGAGTGATTAATCAAAACCATATCTGATCATGACTTTCAAGCAAAGTTACTTAGTGTTGAATTGTATAAGGAATACACATTTACGTAGTGTTGAAAGGGTTAGAGTTACATTTGCTTGCCAGTGTATCAGCTGGGGGATGTTTCCTTATACCTTTCCAACAGTTTAATGTACTGTCAGGTCCATACGTATTTGGACAGCAACCCTAATGTTTGTAATTTTGCTTGTGGACAACAAAGCAATCAAGATGTGATTGAAGTTTAAAGTTTTTGCGTTTGCTTTTTGCTTCTGCTTTGTGCTGCAGACAGTGGCTTAGATGGAGGACTCAGGAGAGGGGGGCTCGAATTCTGTATGAAGTCACAAGCGACAGTAGATTTTTAATTTGACTATTTTTGCATGTTTGGAGTGCATGCATTCTCTTCTCTTTCCGTCATTCTGGGACAAGTTCATCTGATTCAATCTATTCAAAGAATGTTGATCCAAAAAAGGGCAGGGATTTTTAGCTTTTCTAGCAAAGTCTAATTTGGTCTCTGTGTTCCTGAGTGTTACCAAATGTTTGCTTCTTGAGGAAAACCTTTTGTATTTATACTCTTTAAGGTTTATGTTGATTGTAGACTTTGACAGTGATTTGCCTTCCTCCTCCAGAGTGGTGTTGAGTGTTGTTTTTTTTTTTTCACTAAGGAAAGAATTCTGTGATCATCCACTTAACTTGTCTTCTGTTGTCTTCCAGGTGTTTTGGTATAGCTGAGCTCGCCAGTACATTTCTTGTTTTCGGGAGTATACTGAATTTTTGATTTTGACACTGCTTTTTTTTTTTCCAGCCTACTGATGGCCTTCTTCACTTGAAATACCCCCTCTTTAGACAGCCTTGAGAATTCCTATGAACAGCTGTCAAATGCAAATTCAACTCTTGTAATCAAGTCCTTCATTCCTCAGTTTGTCACATAATATCAAGGACACCAACACACCTGGCTGTGAAATGCTATCAGTCAGTTGTCTGGTTACGTCTGAGTGTGTTAAAATCGATGGACTTTCTTAAAACTGGCTGTAATTAAAAATACGTTTTAAACAGTTGATACAATATTTTTGTTGGATATCTTGAATTGTAAAGGAAAGCTCAGAGTCTACACTTAATTTACAACTCGGTTGATTCTTTACAAATCCACTGTAGTGGGGTACAGAGGCAAAATGATTAAGTTGTGGCACTGTCCAGTTCCTTGTGTAGCACTGTGAATCAGCTAAGATGAAATGCAAACTGATGGATTTCAGTTAAAAAAAAAAAAAAAACTTTAGATGGACTTCACCTAAAAAAAAAACAACCAAAAAACAGCTGCATTTGTTCTGATTCTTTTCAAGTAACCACAAGATGCAGCTACAGATACAGGAAAAAGGCCTTCGGGAGGAAAGTTCTGTGGTCAGGTTTTTTTTGTTGTTGTTTTGTTTTCAAAGAGCTATTTGACCAGAAATATGTTTGGGGGAGAGAAGGTGAGGCCTTTAACCCCAAGAACACCACACTTGCCAACAAGCATGGTGGTGGCAGTGTCATGCTCTGAGGCTGTGTTGCTGCCAGGGGGATTGATGGTTTTTACAGAATAAATGTAATAATGAAGAAAGAGGATTACCTCCACATTCTTCAGGAAAACCTAAAATCATCAGCCATAAGATTGGGTTTTGGAGGCAGTTGGATGTTCTAACAAGACAATGACATCAAACACACACCAGAAGTGGTGAAGAAATTGCTTAGTCAGGCTAGAATTAAGGTTTTAGACTGACTGGACTGTGCTGAACATACACATCTGAATCAGAAAGCCATCACATTTAGTTGAACTGCATAAATTCTGTCAAGAGCACAGGTCAAAGATATAACCTCAGGCCCTCAAACACCTAACTGAGGTGAAAATGGCCAAATGACATTTACCCAATTAGCATTGATGTATGCCTTTTTATGAAACAACAGATTTTGACATTTTTAGAAGATCTGTAGTAAATGTATGAAAGAACCAAAATACATGATTGTTTTTTGTGACAAAGACGCATGTGTTTTAATGACTCCATTATAGAAAAATAAGAGTTATGGGAGTCATTGGAAACTCAAGTCTGCCATGATGTACATGTTCTTTACAAGTGCATGTGAACATCTGTTCACAACTATGTATTTGTGATTGTGCTTGGCACTAGCAGGACTGTTTTAAAGCTACGATGGGCACACATGCAGGCCTGTAGAGAAATAGAATTTATACCAATCAAACACAACATTATAACCACTTACAGGTAAAGACAGCATCTTTGATTATATTGTTACAATGCCATGTTCTGCTGGGACATGTTCAGTCCTGGCTATCGGTGTGCAAAACAATAACAGACGCAGAGTGAGAAAATTAGTGCAGACGGAAATAAAAGTCAGCTTGCCAGTGTGGCAGTTTTATTGTTTTGAAGTCTGATCCAGACCAGAACACCGCTGTGTGGAAACTATGCATGAAAACAACCAGAGAACCCCCGTATCAAACAAGCCCCGGAGCAAAGTTTTACCAGAGGATAAATAAGCTCTGATGTTAACGGTTCTGCTGTCGGTACTTCAGAAATGAAGAAGAACGTTATTATTATGATGTTGCACATTCTGTGTTATCACCATAAGACATTCCTCTGTGATACATTTTAACTTTCTAAATTCGGAAGAGAGTTGTCTGTGTCGGAGCCTGGATGAGGACTGGAGCAGCTCAATGCATCACACAGACTGAGGAGAAAAGTAAATGTTCTAAAGCATAGTTACACTTCTAAACAACGAAATGAAAAACGGTGTACAGCGTTTTACTTAGTGCAAAAAACCTGTGACTCCATGACCACAGTGCCCTGATGCTGTCATCACCAGAACATTAGTGTCTAAGTGATTTGATCAAACGACGGCTGTTCATTAATAATTATTTTACAGTCCAGTAATCACATTATGGTATATAATCCTGATTTGTTCAAAACAATGCTGTTGCAGAGGGCTGCTTATAAATGTTAATTTATATACAGTACATGTGAAAAAATGAGAACATCTGAAGTGGTGGGTCAGACATCGCCAGTACCTGAAGGGTCTGATTTAAAGAGGATCCATTTTTATGACACATACTTATTTTTTCAAATGTGTCAAACCCCAAAACTTGTAGTCAGGTATCTCCACACCAAATGTTTTCCAGAAATGATCTATTATCGTGGTTTTCTCTGTGTAGCTGTGAGCTCATGTTCATACAGATGTAGGCGGAGATAATGTTTGACCACCATGTCTGCCATCATTCTGTCTGTGTTCCCCAAATGTGAAGTGAACACAATAATAGTTTTATTCCATTTGGAATGACATTAGTTTACAATGACTTCCCTGCAGTACTCTTCCAACTAAACTCAGTCTGAACAGCAGGGCACCATGGAGGCTGAGCTGCTGCCTCCAGTCACAGGCAAAGATGATTAGGAAGGAATTTGTATTCATGGTTGAACTGGAGCAAATATGTCCAGGCCATAAGACAGACCAGATCACCAATAACATTATTCAGTGCGAGTGTCTTATACAGTCACATTTACACATTCATGTTACTGGCTTTGGAACAAGGGAGACTTGAACAGCTTTTCATAGTAAATGATCACAGAGCCACTTGAAATATTACGATGAAAACAAAAACATTTTTAAACATTTTCAATACCTTCTTAACAGTGCTGCAGCTACACAATTCCTGCATCTCTATCAATGCTGTGGTCCTCTGAGAATCTGCGATTTTCAGAACGCTTTAAGCTCTGTGTCTGACATGCTGGCTAACATGCTGCACACGCACAACTACAGTACACCCCAACAACAATCTTCAAAAAGTTATCGCAATTGAAATGTTGGGTTTCAGGAGATTGACAGTGTTTTTGTGTGAAGACAATTTATTAGAGTTAATTGAATGCATTAGTTTTGGACAAATGTATGCAGAGATGTTCTTGATACGAACTGTTCATGAACTTCTTTGTGGGGAAAAGCCAACAACGGTCCTTCCTCCCATACATGTTTCGATTCAGAGTAGACACAAAGAGGAGGTCTGTTGTCAGTGCATTTGTAAGAGGTTGACAGTGAGCTCAAAAATGAAATTGGATTTTAAATATAGGGAAAACTAAAATCAATATATGGCCATCAATGTAGATATTGTAGCAGATAATGAATGAAAAATGATTTCTTTTCACTGTTGAAACAGTCTCAGCTCAAGGTACAAGGTAATATTCACCTCATCCAAATAAACCACATCATTCGTGGATGGTGTTTAATTCAGTTGTCGGTGAAATGGAGATCTTCAAAGTGTCCAATATCCTCATGTCATATAAATCTTATTCATGACGCTTCAAAGTTGCACTTAACAATTCATCTTTCCACACATCATTAAGAAATAGCAGTTTGAAGATGTTATCTGGTGATCATTACCCATTCAGATTCTAATTAGAAGTACACAAAGACCAGTTTCTGTGTTTAGGTTAGCGGTGACGGCTCCGTTTCCGCGGCGGCAGGGATATTCTGAGATCAAGTTTGATATCCCAATTCCAGCACAGCGAACGAATATTCGGCTATTCAGGTCCAGCCCTAGTGTGGGGGTGTCTTAACTGTGCAAGATCAGCCTGTTATATTTGGAGACGGGAGGCCAACTCTCTAAATGACCGTCTGGTATGCCTCTGTGGTCCCTTTTGTAAGAAGAGTCTGATCTCAGCAGCCCGTTGGTGATACAAAACAGTGGGCAGGAGGTTTCCAAACTGTCTTAAATATAACATTTCTCTTGGATGACAAGCGTTGGTTTCAGCTCAGAGTTGGCATCTAATATTTGTCTGATGGCAAAGTTAAACTTCGTGTTTTACTTGAAACTCCCAAGAATGCAAGGTGTCCAAACTTCCCAAACTCTGTAATGTGAAATCCAACAGTGATACAAAATAAGAATGTTTCATGTCAGTGGTCAGCCATCCAATCTCATACAGTCCAGTCCAACAGGTGTCCAAAGGATTTGAGTGATTCGACCCACTCTCTCTTTGGTAAACTAGCTTAATGTCTTTCTTTTACTTACCATTTATCTTCCTCTTTTTCCTCTCCACAGTATTGACAAAGTGTCCAAGGTGGCATCTCCAGTGCTGGTGATCCATGGTACGGAGGACGAGGTGATTGACTTCTCCCATGGCCTGGCCATGTACGAGCGCTGTCCCCGTGCAGTCGAGCCCCTTTGGGTGGAGGGAGCTGGCCACAACGACATCGAACTGTACGCCCAGTACCTGGAGAGACTCAAGCAGTTTATCTCCTTTGAGCTCGCCACTTCTTGAGAGGAGCTCACCACTTAGGCCCAGGTTCATCTCAACATACTCAAGAGCTTCTTCCTCATAATCCCCCAGATTCCTCTTTTAGTGGTGGGGCATGACTAGAGGAACAAAAATCTCACTGTTCCTCTCGGTCCTTGGAGTCATTTCAAGGTGGGAATGTGTGGTGCACTGGAAGAGGAGATGTTTTTTCATTGTTGAGGTGCAACTGAGGGGTAGGCCAGTCTAATCCAGACATACAGGCTTAACATTTAGTGTCGCCAAAAACTGGCTGGTGCCTACTACATGTGAACCCAGATTGCCAGACATCCTGGGCCTAGACAGTGTTTGCACGGGCTGCTCAAACTAGGTTTATATTCCACTCCAGCTCTCAGCCTCCTTGCGTCCTCTGTTCAGCCTGCCTCTCACCTTTTCTACCAGTGCGTCTCTCTCTGTGAGCTTCTGTCTGTCACATTTCCTTCTTTCCTCTGTTTCTCTCATGAGCTCCTGCAGTCTTTCTTTTTGACTGATAGTCTTTGCAATGCTGATTTTTGTATTGTTTTATACAAGATAAAGAAGTATCAATTTTGCACCTCGAGATACAGTTGTTGAAGTTTTTTACTTTTTCTGTAATTTTAAGTTATCATTCAGGGTTGATTGACAGTGGCACTTTAAATGTGCAGCTACTTTCAGGTAAAGATTTTTTTCTGTGCTTGGATATATGTATGTTAATTTCTTTTGTTAATGGCATTCCATGTTTTTTTTTGTTTTGTTTTGTTTGGTTTTATGTTATTTTTTTAGATGGGCGTACATTTGAAAGCCATTACCCACAATTCACTCCTGCATATCTGCTCTTTGCAGCTGTGACCTTTGAAGTCTTGATGCATGCTACTCCCTCATATGAGGTGTGAACAAAAAATCCTGAGATTGTGCTTATAAAAATTAAAAACCGTACCTAATTTACATTCGGCTGTCATACCTGTTGAAGTGTTATCCTTGTACAGCAATTCAGCGCCCCAGCAAGTGCTCCTGCAACTCTTGTAATGCTCCCTCAGAGTCCCATTGTGTAAACATGCCAATCAACATCTGCGTCAAGCGCTGAATCTCTTAAACTGTGTCAAAACATGTATTAATTTACATAAATTTGATTTTGGGGAAGAGAAAGTAGTCACATGGAGCCAAATCCGGCAAATTGAGGCGCAGCGTTGTGTTGTGGCCAAACACTTGTGCATAATCACCATGTTCTGATGAGTGCACAGGGCAGTTAGAGCACCCACACATCATTCTGCCATCGGTTTGCACCAAATGTTCTCCCTTAGTTAACTCTGTACTTCACACTAAAACTTTGTCTCCACAGCCAAAGCTTGGGGGACAAATTCATGGTGCACAGCCACAAGAATGTTAAAGAAAACAATGAGTGGACTTTATGCTTCTTCTCTGGTCTGAAACACTGTGACTCCTATGTTATGAAAACTGCTGTTGACTTGGTGGTGTCTGCAGACCCACCTCTCATCACCAGTGATGGTCCTTGACGTGAAGGTTGGAACATCCTCACAAAATGTGGAGATTTTCATCTGAGTCCATGGAAAGATCACTAATGTGTTCCCTCCAGTGCTCCCAAAAACGTAGCTGACAGAGGCTGCATGTTTACACTCCTGATGCACTCTTTGTAACACCCGACACAGTCTGGGAGTTTTTGATCACACCGTGTAGAGGGAGAACATAATACCAAACTTTATTGAGTAATCTAGTGATATACAGTACACCCGCTTAGTGGCAACAACACAGTCCTCGGGGGACAATTACTTCCACTTAGGTATGTTTGAGCCCCTGATACAGTCTGCATACAAACAATGCCTTTAGTACTTGGTGTCCTTTTATTTGAATTGTTTTGCCTGTTCACAGTAATTGTCCTAATGACACCATGACAGGCAGAGGTACAGGGAAGTGTCAACCTTAATTGTTTATTGAAATATGTTGTGACGAGTGAATCATCTATATGCAGAAGACCGTAGTGATTTGTAAAATGATTCAATAGGTCATTAAATGAACAGATTTTATCAGCTTATGTTGCAGAATACAAATACATCTTGCAAGCCTTGGCAAAGAAAAAGTGATTACCCATAACCTCCATTCTAATTAGTGTCATTTTGTTTACATACATATCAGAATCCTCACTGCATGTGTGAATGTTGTCACACCATACGTTTGCTACGAAGCAACACAGCAATGAGTCTCCCAAATGTCAGACAATAAAGACCCTTACCTCAGTAGATGAGAGAGCAGCAGGTATCGAGGCTATGTTTTGGTTAACTGGAGATCATGTGGTAATAAGAAAAGACAGCTTTTTCAAACAAACACAAGTGGTTCTTTGCTGTAAACTGAAACCAGCAAGCAGGACTGAGAAGAGAAAGGACACTGAACTGAACTGAACTGAACTGAACTGAACTGAACTGTGTGAAATTGTTCAAGACAAAAATGCTGTTTCTGGGTTTGCATGTGTATTTAATTTACCAGTCCTTTCACACTAAAAACAAAGCCTTACATCTGTACAAATTTCACCCAGACATTCCTGTTGACTACAACAGGCCTCTTGTGGTCTTCAGGGGAACTGATAACTGCTGCTATTCATCTGAGGAATCAGTCGATCACTGTGAAAGCCAGACTGTTTGAGGAATACTGAAATGACAGCAAGGTACTCAAACCAAATTCAACCTGACCAACCACAGCCATCCTCTTTTGTCTGGCATTTGTTCCTGCCTGCAGTAAAAAGGAACCGGCCAGGGAAGCCCTATTTTCCAACACGGTTCTGTGATGAACTCTCTGATATGTTGCTGTTTACCAGCTCAGACTCCAAAGTCTTTGGATAGAAACACAAAGGAGAAATGGAATATCATGGAAATGTGCAACACTTGCAAATCACCTTTCATAGTTCGTGGACATTTAAACTTGTAACAATTGTATTTGAATCATTTGTTTTTTTGATTCCTGCAAATGGAAGAAAAAAATGAAGTAAAACACTACAAAATTAAGCTAAACAATCACATTGAGAAAAACAAAAAACATGTGAAACACTATCAAGTTGAAGGAAATGCTGATCATGTTTTTGGAAAACGATTGTGTTTGAGGGATATTTGCGTAGGAACTTAAAATGATCATTTGATCCTTGTATTGCTGTGAAGTGATCTGTCAGTTATGTACTAGTGTGTTCTGATCGTAGCTAATGCTGGGATAATGTTTTTGGATAAAAAGCCTTTAATCATCTCTAGTATATTTCGTCTTTTTAAAGGAAATGAAGACCCTGCTTTAGACCTGATATTGTTTTGATACTGACATTTTTATGAGGTTTTCCAGTCTAAATGTTAATAGATTTACACTGTCTCTTAAACTGGTTTGTATAATAAGCCTCTGTAATCGTGTACTTCAATATCTTCTCTATACATATTAGCCTTTTCAAGGGGCTGGCGAGTCTCATTGATTTTAACACTGGAATCACAATATGCAAATGAAAGGCAGATGAAGCTAGTCGACTCAAATATTGGTTATAGTGTGTAAAACAAAACCAATGAAATAAGCCTTAAATATGCTGTGAAACATACATTGTGATTGTTGCAAGAAGGCAGCAAAGTCTGTGTTGCTTATAATGGAATAAAGGATGCATGGAAGTGTATGTGTGACCTTGTTTCGCTGTGTTGGATAGATTAAAGGACTGTATTGTGAGTGCCATTGTGCCTCTGAAACCTTTGAGACAACACGATTCTTTTTTTATTTTTTTTTAACATCAAAAGCAAAAGTCTCAAAAAACTAAGTGTTAAACTAAATTACTCGGTATAGTTGTTAAGTTTTTCAAATGTAAATGACATAATGCGTAATCCAGAGCCTGAATGTGTCCAGGCATTTGGTTGAGCTTTATCTGCTGCCAACAATGTTTGGTCTATAAGAAGAAAAACGCTAAACACCCATGATGGTGACCCCTGGTACCGATGCCAACAGTATACAACAGAAATGACTTCACCAATGTGCATGTGGTTTAAATGGCAAATGATTCAAAATTGTTATCACCCGCTAATAAGTACATTTTCATTTTCGTATTTCTAAATTAACAAGTAAAGTCTATCCTTTTACAAACATTTTGGAGTCACAAACAAGTTCCTCTTTTTTTTTTCTTTACACTGTACCATACTTTATTGGAAATTCCGCCTTTAAGTAGAAACTATATCCAACAAAGGTGAATACACCTGCAACAAAATTGAGTAATTAAGCTAACTGCATGGACATGGGTGTAAAATAATTTGTGAACACCAGAACGTCCTTAGCTTTGGAACTGTGGACTGTGTCTATCTGCATCATGGCTCCACATGGAAAGTCACTGTCAGAAGATATGTGACCAACTAAGAGTGAGCAGTCACAGCAGTAATAAGGAAATACAGAAAGAGCCATAGCAGCACTAATCAGAGCTGCAGTGTCCTCCTAAAGTGATGCCACAGACGGTGCACTACTTCTACGATGTAGCTCTAAAAAACAGATTGGCAGGTGACTTGGTACAGGGGTCATCAATGGAAATCAGAGTTTCTGGGACAACTCGGACTGTGTGGAGGACCAATACGTCGATGTCGAATTCAGGTGACATTATGGTTCACCATTGACTTTGTTAAGTTGATAATGTTTAACTCCCTTTTATGTAACCTTTGAGGAGTATGCTAGTGTGAATTATAGATTTATTAAATAATAATCATAAAGCGCAATCGAAGACATTTAAAATTACTATGTGCTGTGGTTTATTTCAATTTCTATGGAGAGAACATGCCTCAAGGCAAACTAAACAGCCATTTTCTCTGGTGCTACAAGGAACTTCTACTGCAATATTACTAACAGAACACTGTGCTAGAAAACTGTTCTTTCACACACTTTTCAATATTATTCACTACATTTCTTTCCATGATAATGCTGATATAATATTGGGCTCCTCCTAACATTAGACATTTGATGAGCATAACACTTGGTAGTGTTACAATAGATGACTTACAGCTGCTCTGCAACAGGAACCAACATAGGATTCCCCCTCCTATCACAAACATTGACTGCACCTGATTGGAAAATGCTTCACTTTGGAGGCAGACTTCTCCTGGATTTCAAAGTAGACCGACAGACCATCTTGCTTGGAAACTGTCTCTCATTAAAACAGTTCAGCGTTTCTAAAATGGGTTTTTGAAAACATTTGAGGCCAGAAAAAAAGCTAATCAGTTCATGAATCTGTCTTCATTTTAGATTAAGAATGGTTAGTTTAGAAGTTTTTTGGAAGTTTCCAGAAGTGTCTGATCCATAATGGTACCGTCTATAGGATTTGTTACTTCAGTGATTCCCATTCATGGTCTATGTGAGCTGTCCTGTAGTGCATTTTGTTAGCACAGCATAGCGTTTTGAGAGACAAAGCATTGCCTTATGTGCTTATAATTTGCAAAGAATTGAGACTGCAGCTATTTTATGCAAAGAGGAGCGTTGAGTCTGATCCAATGCCTCCATCAATGAAATACTGAAGGAATATGGCAAACAGATAATCTGCCTGCATCAAAAACTGAGTGACCTTGCAAGAAAGAGACTCAAGAGTGAGGCTGCCAAGACACCTATGAATCCTATGAAAAAGTTAAAAGCTTCAGTGGTTGAGATGGGAGGGACAAAAACTCATATTGAATCTTGACTAGAGTTTGCAAGAAGGCATGTGGAAGACTCTGAAATCAACTGGAAAGAGGTTCTTTGGTCTGATGAGACCTAAATTTTCCTTTTTGGCCATCAGCTATGCTTGGTGGACATCAAACACTGCACATCATCGCAAACACACTATCCTCACTGTGAAGCATGGTAGAGGCATGTTGTGGGGATGCTTCTCAGCAGCAGGTCCTGGAAGGTTTTTAAAGGTAGAAGGCAAAATTAATTCCACAAAATGGAAATCCTGTAGATGACCTCATGCAGTCTGCAGGAGACCTGCAACATGTAGCATTATTTGTTTTTCAGCAAGACAACGTCCAGAAGCTTACAGCAGAAGCTGCACAGAAACGGTTTATAGGAAATGAGGTGAATGTTCTGGAGTGACCAGGTCAGAGCCCAGGCCCTAAATCCAATTGAGAATTCCTGTCTGAATTTAAAGAGAAAAGATAAAATAAGATAAGCATTTATTAATCCCACAGTAGGGAAATTTCCAGTGTTACAGGAACAAAGATGGTGCAAAAGGGTCATTTGCTCATGAATTCTGGTGGGTTAGTACTTTTAATAGGCCCTGTGACACACATAGCAGAGAAGAGACACTGTAGAGACCAGCCTACCTTGTGTGGGCAAAGAGCAAGTCTCCACAGTGTTAATATTTAAGTATGAAGACTTTAGGATCAAAGTAGATTAAGTTTATGGTAATTACAACTGCTACCTGTCTTATCCTGACAGTGTTTCTAACCCTAAGTCTCCAGGAAATGATTGTAAGTCAATGTAAAATTCCCTGGAGGGATGGGAAGTGATGTGACGTGTGTGAGTGAGTGGATGGCAGCATGTAGTGAAGGACTGTTGGAGGGAGTTGATCTGTGGAACAGCAAACCTCTCCAGGAGTGTGCAGGAGCTGAATGAAGCCCAGTGTAAGTCTGCAGCAGCAGCAGCAGCAGCAGCCACTCACAGAGTTCAACTCCCTCTCAACTGACTGCTGCTCTATCTAAGCTTCTTTCAGAACTCTGCTGGAGACAACACACTGTTATAAAATGCGTGCTGCTTCCTCTTCCCATCAATAATGGCTAGCAGAGGACAGCATACACGACTTACTAGAGAAGCAGCATTGCTGGCGTGCATTGCAGAACTTACAATTTACATGAAAAGTGAAAGTACTCAATGCAGAAAACTGTCTCCTGTGACTCTTACTGATACTATAAGACAGTATGGAACATCATTAGATTAATGTTACTCATGTGTTAATGTAAAAGCAGGTTTTTACTGTTGTGGTAACCATGATTACTGAGAATCATTGGAAACTAGGAGCGATGCGTAGAATAGGAACAAGAAGCTGAAATACCCATCCCTAGTGACCACTATTAGTGGAACTGAGAACGCACTTGTGAGAAGGTTACCATTTTGTTTTTTGCACAGGGACTCACAACTACTTCGCATGCCATTTATTTAGTAGACAGTTCACCGTAGCATTTTGGTCAAAGCTGACATATTCAGAACTTCAAATATGGTGATCATTTTTTATATCTTGTATGTGGTTATCATTTAATGACACTGGACATGTTTACTTATAAAATTTATTAAGACCACAATTCATTACATTTAGCAGTTTTATTCCAAAAGGCAAACAAAACCACACTGGCTTTTATGCACACACACACACACACACACACACACACACACACACACACAGGCCACATTCACATCGTGCCACACAAATCCTCCATGTCATCCTGTCAGGGAAACCAAACATTCTGAGCAAAATATTATGACTGACAACAAGAACCGTTTTCACATCCTGTTACAGTCACACAGTTTCTGCTGTCTCACACATGCACTTCTTTGCTCATGGGAACCAAAATAAATGTCTTCGTTGTTGAACTTAATACGTTTTGCATCTCTGGTTCTACAGCAATCAGTTTCCAAGGCTTTACTGGCTTCACACAGTCAGCTGAGTTGATTCATCTCTTTGTAGCCCATCTCTGAGCGCAACAACTTCACAATGTTACAATGGAGGGAGCTAGGATGAGCAAATGGAGTCCTGTTGAAGCCCCTTTCTGATATGCACTTCGTTCTGTTAATCTGTTAATCTGGTGGCAACGGAACCTGTCAGCTTCACGTCGGAGCAGGGTGCTCACTTTGCTCACAATGGCTGCATGCACAAGCAATGTGCTTTGAGTTGTGTGAAGTGATTTGAGGAAGATATTTGTCTGCATTTCAGCTCCAATATTGATTTAAAAACATCACAGACAGCAAAAAGACGCAGTTTGCAGCCAAAATCGTGAAACACCTTTCTCATTCATGTTGCCCTATCCTGTTACAAACATGTTACAAATGAAAATGTCCACCAAAAAAAAAACACTTTACTGCTAAAAAGACAGAACAGGTCAGATTAGTTGGGCCAGTGATGATTGTAATCTGGGTTTTCACAAAACATGAACATCAACTGAAATTCAGTTTGTTGTTTCCAGCTGTTTGTAAGAGTCTTTCCTCCGAGTTTATTAACCTGCAGCATTAAACAGCAGCAGGATCCATATGAGCAGCTCCAAAACATGAGAGCAATGGTGGTAGCTTCAATAATCATACATTGTCTTTGACATGGAGACAGGACTGGTCAGGATCTGACAGCAGGTTATATATCAGCCATCCTTACATTGAGTCCTGATCTCCATCACAGCTGTTGGGTTTTAGATAGATTATCATCACACATTGACAAAATTATCTGTGTTTAGAAAATTATATATAAACTAGGCTTTTAGCTATCTCTAAAATTTGACAAGCTGCTGTTTGTTTTTTGTCTTCTGTTGATTATTATGTTTATCCTTAACCTGATGTGCTGTCCAATCTTGTGTGTATGATAAATATCGCACACGTAATGTTGCTCTCTCCGTCACTATGGTGGGTATGTCTGAATGAAACCACAAGCAACATCAATGTAAAAGTGACCTTTGTCTAAATGACAGAACGCTGAATATC